GGGGGAGGGGAGGTGTTCGGAGCTGGGGGTCTCCCACTGTTTTCCATCACAGCCTTGGCTGTGCGTGGGTGATGTCAGGGAACCTCTGAGTCCAGAGTGGGCTGACCCCAGAGCTCTGCCCTGGAACGATTTTGCCGCCCCCTCCTCCCAGGCGTGGCTGGCAGAAGCTGAAAGTCGAGTCCTTAGCAACCGGGGAGACAGCCTGAGCCGGCACGCCCGGCCTCCCGACCCCCCTGCTAGCGCCCCACCAGACAGCAGCAGCAACGGCGGATCACAGGACACCAAGGAGAGGTGAGGGGTGACGCCAGAGTGAGTCTGTTCCCAGGGTCCCAGGGGGGCGTGTCTTTATCTGCCGAGTTCTCCCCAAACAGCTCTGAAGAGCCTCCCTCAGAAGAGAGCCAGGATACCCCCATTTACACGGAGTTTGATGAGGATTTCGAGGAGGAACCCACATCGCCCATAGGTCACTGTGTGGCCATCTACCACTTTGAAGGTGAGAATGGCCAGAGTGGGCTTGGCGGGGATGGGCGGCACTGTCTCTAGCTAGGTTCAGTTTAAATTTGCCTAAAGCAGGGCTGGGCGGGTGGCTCAGGCTTGTAATCCCAGCAGTTTGGGAGGCTGAGGCAGGCAGATCACTTGAGGTCAAGCATTCCAGACCAGTCTGGCGAACATGTTGAAACCCCATCTCCACTAAAAATACAAAAATTAGCCAGGTGCGGTGGCACACGCCTGTGATCCCAACTACTCAGGAGGCTGAGGCAGGAGAATCCCTTGAACCCAGGAAGCGGAGGTTGCAGGGAGCTGAGATCGCGCCACTGCACTCCAGCCTGGGCGACAGAACGAGACTCAGTCTCAAAAATAAAAAATAAAAATAATACATTTGCCTAAAGCAGATCTGGGCCCACCCCCACCCCCATCACAGGGTCCAGTGAGGGCACCATCTCTATGGCCGAGGGTGAAGACCTCAGTCTTATGGAAGAAGACAAAGGGGACGGCTGGACCCGGGTCAGGCGGAAAGAGGGAGGCGAGGGCTACGTGCCCACCTCCTACCTGCGAGTCACACTCAATTGAACCCTGCCAGAGGCGGGAAGACGGGGGGCTGTCGGCTGCTGCTTCTGGGCCACGGGGGGCCCCAGGACCTATGCACTTTATTTCTGACCCCGTGGCTTCGGCTGAGACCTGTGTAACCTGCTGCCCCCTCCATCCCCAACCCAATTCCACCTGTCACTCCGGACGGACCCGCTGTGCCTTCTACCATCGTTCCACCATTGATGTACATACTCATGTTTTACATCTTTTCTTCCTGCCGCTCGGCTCCGGCCATTTTGTTTTATACAAAAATGGAAAAAAAAAAAAAAAAAAAGAAAATTACATAAAGTTCCTGGAGTCGGTGCCTTATTAGAGGATTT